AGCAACCTGTACGCCTGTCATTTGTCAGTGTGTCTGGGACAGGCGTCGACCCGGTCACGACTGACGTCGGCAACACCAGAAGCCGCGAGCAGCCTCAGCAGCACACAAAGCCGACCCACCTCGGCTGGTGGGGACAGTGTCATGTGCGTCTGCTGGCTTGTGCGAGTGATCGTATAAATAGACGCAACCGGCCAGGCTGGGGCCAATTTGCTCATTTATTCACTCTCCAGGCGGCGTGTTCTCGGACTTGTGTTGTCGTTATTGGAATCCGGCGAGCCGAACATGAAGTGGAGCCGAATTGACATGCACTCCTGCCTCGTGTTGGCTTTGGTCGGCGTCTTCTCGCACGCCGTGCCCGGCATCGACGGCTTGGCCTACCCGCGCCACCTCGACGGTCAGGCTCTGGAGGTGGCCCAGTTCGTGCCGGTAAGTCTGCCCGGTTTGTGGATGTGGCGACCAAGATGGTGTGGCCTTCTGTTTGGTCGCTTTAGCGATTTGTCTCCCCTTTGTCGGACGGGACATTTGAGGCCTCCGGACCCTCGGCAATTGGCTCCACTTAAAATGGGACCAGCAGACGTAGAAAAGGTCAGTAGAGCTTGGTTGAGCTGGCACTACCTTCGAGACGAGTGGCTAATGCTGAAAATAATAGTCTATGTTGTCGAGTGGGAGTGTTTGGTGAAGAGATTCAGAGGTCAATTCTTCTTCGAATCCCGTCCATCGTCCATTGTATAACGAACATCATCTGAGCAAGTTACCATCGTTACAACCGAATTCAAGCTAGCGAGTCAAGAAAAGTCACCGACGCATCCCTAAAAAGCTGTATACATAGTCTATGTCTGACCGCTTTGATGATGCTCCGAGGTTGACCTATGATTGGAACCAACCAAATCACCTTTTACCTCATCAAAGAGGCCAGATATAGAGTTTATATACCGCTTGTTATGGATTTGCCGGTGTGTTTTCTTGACTCGCTAGCTTGAATTTGGTTGTAACGATGGTAACTTGCTCAGATGATGTTTGTCATACGATGGACGATGGACGGGATTCGAAGAAAATTACCTCGGAAACAGCGTCAGCATGAATGTTGCGGTGGGATCGACCTTCGAATCTGTTCACCAAACACTTTCACTTGAAATGGAAGTAAGCTCAGCAACTATGAGACAAAAGATTCCTCGAAACACAACTTTCCTTTGCATACAATAATAACCTAGTCAGCCTAGATCGCATAAGCTGGTGAGTTAGTCATAGTTGATTTGGACTTCAAATGGCCTTGCCTACCAAAAGGCTACTTCCTTCAGAGTTTAATGCAATCTTGACCCAGCCTCGGTCTCAGCACCACCCCGACCGGGTCATGAGCGTCGTGGGGACGCGTATCACTCCCCTCCACTCCACGACCGCAGGTGACGGCGACCCAGAGGGCAGATACGACATTCAAGACGAGTATGGACCTCGCCAGACTCACACTTTATGATGGGAATCAAGACGTGCTGATGCTATCGAAAATTAATGTTGTGGATACTTTCATTTCGTGCGAAACCGAGTGTAATAGAGGGATTTGTTTTCGTGCTTCCACAAGAAGATGATGGCCGATTATCTTTGTTCTCCAGTGGTTTGCCCTTAACACGACCTTTAGATTGGAGTAGTCCCTGCGGCATCATCCTCTCTTGTTTCGGGTGAAAGCGAGCTGATCTTTCGTCCGTCATTTGACGAACATGGTCAGAGTCAAGAAGACTCAATTTAGTGCTAATCGACGACTCTATGAGAAATGACTTCCAGCTCTGAGGGTGTCCATCACCTAACGAACGAAATATTAGTCCGGCTTCACTCAAAACGAGGTCAACCGATGCATTTCTCAAACGGGCACTTTCATACAAAAGGAAAGTCTGCACAACAAGCTACTCTTCGTATCTGTATCGAAATTAGGTAACATCTTCGATTGCAGTGGGAAACACATATTTGCCGTAATAAGTGTCTCACCAGCATTCCATGTTGAGATTTAAAACCCTGTCGTGGGCATCAGACAACCATGCGCCCAATGAACGCACGCAGGCTAGCCCCGAATCCCGTTAGAGGTACAGACTGGAATCTGTATTCGAGCCGTCTACTTTTGGGAAACTTGGCTACCAGTGCTTGTATACCCTTTAACGACCTCAGCTTTACATAATCAAAGCCCGTGTTATTGATGATGCTGCACCCCTTGACATTAAACATCGAAGAGTTGATTGAAATAGGTCTCAAGTTTGAATGATAGACTCAAAAACTACCTTAAACGAATATACTCGACGCAGTCGATTGCAATAGCCTAATTCAAGTCTAACAATCCAACCAGAAATGTGATGCGAGTGGTCTAGCCTTCCTTGAAATTCCCTTCATAATCAGTGGTGGAAGAGAAGGGTTTACATTTGAAGTAAAATTAATTTTTTCGTTTCTTTGTAGAGACTGGTTCGAAACCTGTTATTTGAAGCTTGCTTATGCCATGACTTTTAGGATTCTCGGATTGTATCCAATCTGCCTACACTTCAGACAGAACTTTCCTAGCACGCTATTTTCGCTTTTGGATGCATGCGACAGGCCGACATGTTTGACCACTTAGAATATCGCCCTATCCATGCTCGTGGTCTACTCGAATGCTGAATTCCGATTCCTTTCCTTAATTTGTTTCTATCCATTCATTCTGCATTTGACAGAGCAAGCAGATAGGATCATGGTCCCTTATAAGAAGGAGCAAAATACATTCTTCTTTGCATGAATATGACCGTCAAAGGTATGAAGACCAAGATAGTGTGGCCTTTTGTGTGGTCGCATTCTCCTTTCGTTGTATAGAAGTTGTTTAACCTTGTTTTCGCAACTCGGTAATATTGGTAGGCAGACTTAGAGGAACGCACCTAATCCGGAGTCCATTGTCTGTATGA